AATTAGTAAGTTCCAGGCCAAGGACGGGTTCTACCAGCAGTGTGCATTAGCCTAAAAAAGAAATGCACGTCTGCCGTGTTCCAGCATCCCAGAAAGAGTTAAGGGTGTTTCTGTCCAAAGACTGGCTGGGTTCTCATCAGGGTAGCCCCACGCAATCTCATTCTTAAGCTCTGAACTCATGAGTAGAAAACCCTGCCGTGAAGGCCAGCCTCATAGAGGTCAACGCCACAGATGACCACGGGGAGGTCGACAGCCGCCATCGTGTGCCATCTGCTCAGATTGTCCCCCAAACAGCGTTGATCCCCTGAGCCCACAGCCTCCTCCAATCAGCAAGCAAGGCCCACAGCTAGGATTGGATGCCTGGGGAGTCCCTACCATGGCTCCCTTGATAACATCACAAACACCCTGCCCTTCTCCCCTCCCAGAAGAGATCCGAGAACCAACTTCCTGGAGGTTCTAGGCTCACACACAAATACTCAGATCCAAAGAAACTACTTCAAAAAACAGATAAGAGAGAAATAAGGGATAGAGAGGCATGGGCTACGTGTAAAGACCAGAGGACATCCCAGAGCAAGCCCAAGACCATGCTCCCCAGTCTGGCTGCTCTGCCTTGTGTTGGGGTTCATGTTGGCTTCCTCCCATAGGTCTGCTCCCGGATTCTTTGAAGGGAGAGAGACTCCTTCTGGGATCCATTTGTGACACCAAACAGAAAGTCGGCCCCCTTGGGGGGACATGCCAGAGTTTTGGAGCTGTGAGCCTATGAGATGTCTGTATGTGTGTGTCTACTCTTCACCAACCTCTTGGAGAACAGAGGGTATTTATTTTAAGAGTCAAAGAAAAAAAAAGATGTTATGAGCAACCCCACTTAGCTAAATCCTGGCACCGGTACTCGAGAGAGAAGCTAAATGCCGGAGGTCAAACCTCACTTTTTTGGCTAAAATGTTCAATCAAAACACACCTAATACTTCTGCCGGGGCGCGGGGGAGAAGTGGAGAGCCCGGGGCAGCCACTGCCAGCAGTCGACAAGCCAGCGGTGCATATGCTGAGGCTGAGCTAGCAACATAAAGAGGGTTTTCAGTAAACGGCAGCCCAGCCAGCCAGCCAAGGCTGAGAGGCTCCGGAGTGTGTCCGGCGGTTTCTCCACCCAAGGTCAGCAGCGGGTAAGGGGAGTGAGCCTCACTAAAGATATTTCTACCTGGCAAGGCTGCTGTTAAAACCCAACTCGAGCCTTCCCCTTGCAGGAGGGCTCTGGAAACTCGTGAGGTGCCAGCTTCCTCTGAGGGCCTGATGCTCCCTCCTCCAGCCCTAGTAACTAAGGAAGCCTGTCATGAGGCGCTTTCCTGGTCCTTGGCATCTCACAGTTTGTCTCAGTGCAAGCTCCCATGCCCAGTACCCCAGTGAGCATCTGCTCAAAGTATGTGTGAAGAGGACCAAGGACAGGGCCCCAGCTCCTGTCCCCAAAGCCGACCAGGCCCCATGACCTATAAAGCACAGGGCTCTGTCTCTTTCACTTGGTGGCTGTTGAAGAGTTGCAGACATGGTTGTTGGTGTCCCTCTGTGTGTCCCCATCTGAGAGCAAACTCCAGGGTAGGTAGTAGCCATCACCATGGCTGTGCTAACATTTCTGGGGATGAAAGAGCCCATAATGGCATAGCAGATGTGTTAACTGGGCTCTTACACCCCTACCTGGCTCCTTCTTAGCTTCTGATGAGGGCCCTCCTAGGGAACACACTCATCCAAAGGTCTATGGAACAGTTTCCCTTCCACTGAGTTGAAGGACAATAGGCAGGTCAGGAGAAGGCTTGAATTGGCTTGAATATGCCAGCCCTTTTCCTGCTAGGAGAAAGAAACTAAAAAACAAAAAGGTTCCCTCAGAGGCAGCCACACAAGACAATGGTGAGTGTGTGTGCAATGTGAGCAGTGATAAGCCCTTCCCAAGGACCTCTGTTGGCTGCTGGTGCCCTTGCAGGCACCTGAAGCTTGACTGAGCACACAGAAAACAGAGCAGGCAGCCGTGCAAGGGCACAGTTCTGGCCTGGGCCCCCGAGTTTACTAGCAACACCATTTGCAGCTTCCACATCAGAGGGGCTTAGCTGTGACAGGAACCACCCCCTTACTCTCAGAGATTTCTCAGGACTGGGGTGGGCGCCTTTTCCAGTAGATCCAGGACAGCTTCTCTCTCTTGCAACAGGAGAGTGGCCAGAGAGACACCTCATACCCGGCCCTGTGCCCTAGTCCTCTCTCCAGTGTCTAGCACTGTGTTGACGTTCGTGTGTTAGTACAGGGTGATTGTGGAATGGAATGCCACCAAGCAAGCTCCTTAGACAGGTCCTAAGACAGCAGCACACGGTCTCCTGTGACCTGTCTGTTGACAGGTTCAGCACACATAGCACATACTCAGGGGTTTGCAACCGCGTGCAGTGTGTGTGTGTGTGTGTGTGTGTGTGCGCGCGCGTGTGTGTCCCTGAAGCCTGGGACCCTAGGAAAGGATCCTAATAGTGATGAGGTGACCCTTTAGAGCACCCAGCTACGTCAAGTAGCTCGGCACTCCTCAGTGCTGGGTTTCTGCGCTGATGGAGTTTGGAGACATGCACTAGGTTCCGGGCAGTGTCTGCTCTATGTTGAGCCTCTAGGACGCAGTTGGTTTCTACATGGAACATCTTCCTGATGGCTCCTCACTCCCTGGCTGTGTCTAGTCTTCTCTGTGTAGTGCAAGCATTACTTTGGCTGGGGGGAAAAATGAAAACACCGGTTGTCTCCTGGCTGAAGCCAGACCATTAGAAGCCAAGAGCGCTAATGATCCTCTTATCCTGCCATGGGTAGCCTGTGGCACAGAACCACCGCCAAGAGGTCTCTATCCACACTGGGAACAGCATCCAGGGTGCAGATTTGGATAGACTGTCCATGTGTCAGGAAGAGGCCTCCTTGGGTAACCTCTGTCTCCAGCACATGAATGCAGACGTCACTGGGAAAGGAGGCCTTTCTAGGGTTTGGTGGCCAGAGTCACTCTCTCAGGATCCCCTCCACCCTCCTGGGCCCTGCTTTGACTGAGAAGAAAACCATTGGGGGGGGAGGGAGAGGGGCAGAAGCACAGCTGTGCACGGCTCAGCTCCGTCTGGCTTCTGTGGCCGGTCATGTGGCAGAATCCAGCCAAGCCGGGCAAAGTTGCATCACCGGTGGAGTCCCCCTCTGGAGGCTGGCGTGAGTCGTGCGTGGCGTTCGCTGAGCCCCGCCTTGCTCTCCCTTTTCACTTAGAGCCACTTTCCAAACCACACTTTCAGAATTTATTAAGAGAAACATAAAATTCCCAATTGGTTAGAATTCCCAACATTTAGAATATGGCCTCTTGTTATTACAGCTGAGCCAGGCAGGGCCTGCTCGGTGTGCCACACTCCCTTGCCGGTCTGCGCGGGGGCACACGCGGGCACCTCAGGGTGGCGTGAAGGGGAGGGAAAGGAAACCCTTGGGCTTGACATCACTCCTCGTTTTTGTCTTTCAAGTATGGTTTTCCGTCTTGGTTCCTGTTCTTTTGGAAATGACATTGTAGCTTATGAACATGAGTCTTATGAGCTGGACTTCCAACCCAGAAGGGAAGACCCAATTTCTGCCACCCGTTGGCCAGTTTGTTTAGCTTTAGCACGTTGCGTCCGGTCACTGAAGTACTAGGCATGGTTGGCGGTTTTCTGAGAGGAGACGTGGGATTAAAATGCCACAGCCATGCAGCGGGGAACCAAGGAAAGCTGGATGGGAGGCTCTGGGACAGAAGGATCCGAGGGTGGTGCTCTCCTGCTCCTCTTCTGCCAGATGTGTGTGTGTGTGTGTGTGTGTGTGTGTGTGTGAGAGAGAGAGAGAGAGAGAGAGAGAGAGAGAGAGAGAGAGAGAGAGAGAGAGAGAGAGAGAGGTAGAGGGATGAGGGATGAGGGTCTACTGTGGTGCACCAGGCACCTTCAAGATGTCCAGCACCACAGCTGAAGAAGTACCCCCGTACATAACAGAGAGCCTTGTTCCTTCCCGGGTCATGTCATGTTAATAGAAGCCGGCAACAAGCTGCCATCTCAGACTGCAGAAGCCCCCCCTCCCCCCGCTTGCTCCAGCCTATCTGCAGTCTCCTAGAACAGAGATGGGACTTGTGACTCCCCTGAACTCTGCCTCCCAAGTCAAACTGGAATCCCCAGGAGGAGAGGGCCATCCATGCCTGCAGCCTGCTCACCCTTTAAGGCTGGGCAGACTGGAACAGAGCCATTTTTAACGTGTGCTCTGTGGGTTTTCTGGTAGAGCTTGAAGTCGGCTGTCCCTCTCAGAGTCTGAGCTCCCTGCTGGTTGCAACCACAGGTGACTTGTCTTAAGACACTTCAGCCCTCACATGGGCCATGGGTCTCAAAGCAGAACAAGGCTATCTCTGAAAGTGGAGCTCTAAAGAACCAACTATAGCATTTGCAGAGAGGAGACACCTCTCGGGGGTGTTTTTAGTCCCCAGAAAATAGGGGACCTCTGTTAGAATAAGGACGCTCAGCAGATGATCAAAGGCAAGCATATTCACTTTGCTTTTGACTGCGGATGTGATGTGACTGTAGGAGTTCCAGCCTTGACTTTTCCAAAACAGTAGATTGTAACCTAGAATTGTAGATTGTAGACCAGGCTAACCCCTTTCTCCTGAGTATTGCTCCTGAGTATTGAGACAGGATATTCTCTCTCTCTCTCTCTGTGTGTGTGTGTGTTGCTTTGAGACAGGATATTCTCTCTCTCTCTCTCTCTCTCTCTCTCTCTCTCTCTCTCTCTCTCTCTCTCTCTCTGTGTGTGTGTGTGTGTGTGTGAGAGAGAGAGAGAGAGAGACTAAAAGAGAGAGCCCCCAACAAAGAGTTTCCCTTCGTTTCTCGGGGAAGCCACCAGACTTTGTCTTCATGCTGGTGAGGTGGTGATCTGCCCATGGTTCACAGCCCTCTGCAGCTTGAAGGCGACACCTGTCAGCCACTAACAGCCCTTTCCAATTTGCTTTGCAGCAGATGCTGACGGATACAGAGGTGTCATCCCAGGAGAGCTGCATCAAAAAGGTAGGCAAACATGCCATCACTGCTGTTCACCCCAGCACCCTTCCGTGTAGTCCCCTGGTGGGACAGCTATGTGGTCCTGGTTGTTTCTGAGCTACATAGCAAAGAAGCCGTCTGTGATCAGAGCATTATCTGCACACAGTGTACAAATGCCATTAGAGGAGACTCTTGTTTTCACTGTGTAAGCGGCAGGGTGGGACAGGGGGATGGGGGGGTGTCACCTCACTAAGGCACCCCAGCTCTTGAGAACAGAGGACAACCCTGGGCCCGTGGGAATGCTGCAGGCCATGCAGACACATGGAAACTAAATAAAGGCAGGTTGTGTTTATTTAACTATCTTCACCGAATACTCACATGAAAAGAATATGGGGCGGGTGCAATGGGCCGCAGATTCAACAGATCCTTTCGCTGCACTCTTAACTCCCAAAGAGGGCTCGGGCGTTGCTTTAAGTAAGCAAAGCATTAGGCAAAAGAAAAAGCTTCAACTGGGCATTGTCTGCCGCCTTTCTGGCTGATGATGGATCATAGCTGGTCGACAAACACGGCCCTGAAAGACACAGAGACGGAGACAGAGAGCTATGCGGAGGGGAAAATACACATGGCCCTGGGGAGACGCACACGCGTACACACAGAGGTGCAAGCACACCTGAGTGTTCACACACTGCAGTCCACGTAGTGGTAAGAAGATGGTCTCCAGTCAGCTCCAAAGCCTTCCATGAGCTCCGTCACTGTGCACAGGGAAAACACACGTGTGCACATGCTCACACAAGCGTCTTATCCTACTCTTAGGGTCTTCCCATGAAATTAAAGTGACGCCTTCTCTCTGGGCATCTTTGCCCAGGAACAAACGTGGGCACAGAGATCCATTTACACCACATCCCTACCTGGAAGTGGTGATAGGGGTGGGGGGGGGTTCTCAGTTCAGGCTGCTGGGGAAGCTGCATCAGCACCGCCTGCTATTCACCCCTAGTCTTGCAACACCGAAATTGCACCTGAGGGGTCCTGCCACCCAAGTGAGCAGACAGGTCTGATCTGATGTGTACTATGCTGGGCACATAGGCAGAGCTTCTCTGCAAGGGATGGTACCTGTGCTTCTCCCAGGCAAATCCCAGGCAGCATTTTGGAGGTGAGATTGTGACAGTGGCCCTTCCTTCCCCCATCCCTCCCTCTGCCTTTTAAGTGTACCATGGATCAGATTCTCTCTCTCTCTCTCTCTCTCTCTCTCTCCCTCCCTCCCTCCCTCCCTCCCTCCCTCCCTCTCTCTCCCTCCCTCCTCCCCTCCCTCCTTCCTTCTTTTCTTCTTTGGATAAAATTGTATCTTGTGAAGGGAAAGGGGTGGGAGCTGGAGATGAATTCTGTATATCAAGAATTGTGGGAAAGCAAAAGCACAGTGCACTCTGTGCCACAAACAGAGCTGGGCCTCACTGAGACTATCTTGTTGTCGGTGTGACTTTGGGGGCACTGCCCAGCCAGGGCGTCATGGTTAAGGCAGGAGACCCAGAGGTCAAGTTCAAATGTAAAGGGGCTGTGAAGAGGAAAAGTTCTGGATACTTTCGAATGGAAACAAAGTAACGGATGGCAGGACCGAGCCTGGCTGCTCTCCTCTTGCTGTGGGGTGGGAGGTGGGGACGCCATTTGTGGTGGGGTTTTGTTTTCCTCCCCCTATAAGACATCTGTGATGTCTTGTCTAGACTGACCCCAGTCCTCTTGAGAGCTGCTTATGGAATACACCACAAGCAGAGACCCACTTGAAGACGCTTGCAGGATGGAGCATCTCAACTGCAGGTCCCCTTGATGCCCCTGAATCTCTGCAGCCAGGCTGAGGGTCTCAGAGAACCAGGGGGCCCCGACAGAGCAACCCCCACATAGGGTGGAGCATCTTGGAAGCTTGAAGGGGACATGGGTGGCTGTCTTTCCCAGGGGGCTTCTCAGAGCCCATCCTAGCCCTCTCCGTTCTTCTGCCCCAGTGGAGGACGTTATAGGCTGCTGGTGGGTGTCCTTGGCTAAGCCTCTGCAGGTCTTCTTACGAGGCTGGGGGCTGCTGAACAGAAGTTTTCCATCCGTGGCCGAGTTCAGACATCCCTGTTTCTCTGGGGGGGTCACAGAACAAGAGTTAAAACCTAGTCTTAGGTGTGGACCTGAGCAGTGGGAGACGGAAGTGACTGAACTGGAGATGGGAATTACAAGTCAGCACCGAAGGGGAGTCACTTGCCAGGGCCTAGGGGCAGCAGGAGAAACTCATGGCTTTGAACTTGTGTCTAGGTGGAAGTTTCTGCCTCACTAACAGATATGTCACTTAGAGCTGTAGCTAGTGTATGCTTTCCATACTTGTGCCTTTTTTAAAAATTCTTTTTCCAAGACAATGCTACATGTACCTGTGTGCATTTGGATTACCTGAAGACATGCACACTTGTATTCAAAATATGATAGGGAATTATTATGGGGCAGAGGGGTATGTGGAGGCTGTGTGTCCTTGGGTTGTTCAGTTGCCGTCTCTGAGCTTCATACATTCCCAGCCCTCCGTCTGATTCTGTGAAATGGCGCAGGCTTGGTTTAGTTCTTTCAGCCCCAAGGAGTTCCGACACCTGAAGGAGAAATGGAGGGAGGCTGCTATTTTAAGTATTAGGTGTTAGACAACAAGTAACCACAGAGGTAGCGCATTCTTCTGAATGGACTCAGGATTTACAGAAGGAGCCAGGCAAGCATGGCTACTCATGGGACGGCCGTGTCAAGACTCACACCCGAGCCTGTGCAGACCTGCACTGAGAGAAGCTACCCCTGGCCCAGTCCATCCCCCCCCATCCTGCTCCCCTTGTTGAACCCAGTCTCCTGCTCACCCCCATTAGCCCCTCTGTCTCTTACTCCCAGCATCCCTCCGGGCTCCATTGTCACTAACATTTCCATCTCTTGTGGCCACAGGCCCCCAGCTCCAAGCACCTAAATCTCGATGTCATGTCTGCCCCTGTCCTCCGTGCCCTCAGGGCACGTCACTGGAGGCTTCCCCAGGAGTCGCTCTGGCTGTGGTCAGACCTGGCCGAGCTTCTTCCCACAGCGGAACCCAGGACCTCTGGGGCTGCCCCTCTGCTGGCGACTCTATTTAGTCTGTTTACTTAGAGGGAAGCCCGGGGCTCCTGGAGAGCAAACATCTGCGGGAGATAATCTAGCGAGCTGTCCATCCATCACTCGGCTGCGCGGCTCCCTGGAGAGCACGTCGGAGCCCGTAATAAAAAGGCCGGGAGAAGAGGCTTTGGGGACGAATAAAGAGCCGTGTTAAGGGCTCGCAGAAAATGGATGGAAGACATTATTGAGGCTCAATGGCCGCCTTATCAAAATCCAATAGGATAGACATTTGGCAAAGGCTTAAATTTATTCTTTGACTTTCTGGAGGGCTGAATTTATCCGTTAACAAGAGTGTAGTCCACCCGGGGAGATGGTATCAGGCGAAGGAATTTTGATTCAATCTCTTCAGTGATATGAAAAGGGAAACACAGGGCCCCACGGCCTTTCCTTTTGTCCCACTTTATCTTGTTTTCTTTCAGCGTCTCGCAAAGGAAGGAGGTGTTAATACAGGGCAACTGGGAGAAAACACAAATGAAAGGAAGTGACCTTTTCCTCTTGTATTTTTATTTCCGCCTTTCCTCCCTTTCTCTGCTCCTTCTCCGCCCCCAAATAAAGAAATCGGGGATTTGTACCGTTATAACTGGGACTCGGGGCCTGGAAAAGGTTCCTGTCAGGAAGGGCCCAGCCAGCACTCCTGGGCTGTGGCAGGAGGTATGGAAGGAGTGAAAAATAAATTGAGAGGGGTCAGCGATGGGTCCATAAATCTCTTCCAGTTATTATTTCGTACAAAACGCTACAGGTCATAAAAAGCCACCTGATAGCTCTCAAGTGATCCAAACAGAATGACTGATTGATGATTATGAAAATCTGTGAAATGATTATTTTTGGGTGTCGGAAGCGAAAGTCTTCTCCCACTGGACTTGGGGACCTTTTTTATCCCCCCATCATATGGTCCTGGCTGAGCTGCCTCTGGTGACCGGAAGCCCAGAGGCCTCAGGGTTCATGAAGGGCGACCGGGGCCAGGATTGTGAGCTCAGCCTGCTGAGGAGGTAGGAGCCGAGGCAACCAGGCAACTTCCAAGTGGCTTTTGTGCAGCGATTATTTGGATGTCACACGCCCCGGAGATCTAAACCCGACCACAACTGAGCGAGCCGTTTGCCTCTGCAGACTGTTTCTTCCCAAGGGCTGTACGGCCAGATATCGGTTTATGTTGTTCCCGTGTAGCTGCAGGCTGAGGCAGTGGGGAGACACTTATTCTGGTGGTGCTCTGCAACAAGGCACTGACCTGCAGGTCAGGATCTGGCTGGTGTTTATTGGAACCGGAAGAATCTCCCCCACCCACCCATAGCTTGGCTAAGGGCCGTGTCACTGAGGTGAGCTTAGGAACGTCTTCCTCTCCCGCCCTTACCAGACAGCTGGCCACACTCAGAATCCATCAAGGTGCATGACTATAGGCAGTTTCCCTACAGGCTCTCTTATTACCCCCCCCCAATCCCTACAGGCTCTCTTATTACCACCCAAAAAAAAACCCACCAACAACAACAACAAAAAACCCACCGCTAACACAACAAACACTGCGATCGAAATTATTAATTTTACATGTGGGATCAGTTATGTCTTTATGAAATCAAAGTGTGTTTAGCTGCCCCGGAGACAGCCCCAAGTTGATTTTGATAATCTCAGGCTGAATAGACTTGCCTCGTTGCGGTAAGCCGGGGACAAAAGGCTGGACAGTGGTTGAAAGCCCTTTGAGGACATGTCTCTCTTTCCATTGTTCTGGGGTTGCTGATAAAAGAACCGGGAGTCCATTAATTCAGTGAATGAACATATAGCAAAGTCAGTCCCCTCTTGAGAACAATAATGTTGAGGTCAGCTTCAGTTGCCATGGAAACTAAGTACTCCTAAGAAGTTTGCATCCTTGATTTTGCTGAATCAAAGGCTAC